ATATATCTTTTAATTGTTTATATAAGTACATTCAAATTTTCAATGTGGCCTACTAACCCCACTAGCTTTAACATGAAGTAACCCCGGCCCCTTGCTGTTCAGATCCTACAAGGTTATATACTTTGGGAGCTAGGGTTAGATTTGTAGGTATTTTATTGTTATTTTCGCTTGATTTAGAGTGGGGGAGAACTTGAGAGCTTAGCTATATTATCACAGGTTTAACCTTTGGATGTTTTAAGTATCTAGGATTACAACTATTTAGGATTGTGAAGGTAAATTTTTTACTTTTAAAATTAAAATTTTAAAGAAAATTCTAGAGTGATTCAAATATAGCGTGTTGATACCTACCATCATTAGCCGATGGTTCTGTTTGACAAAGCTTATTTAGGAGCTTATAGCTTATTTTAAGCTACTAATAAGCTATAAGTTCTGTTTGGTAATGTTTCCAAAATAAGCTTCTAGCTTAAAATAAGAGCTTATTTTGGAACGCTACATTAGGTAGCGTGGTAATGTTCCCAAAATAAGTTCCTAGCTTAAAATAAGAGCTTATTTTGGAACGCTACCTCTACATTAGGTAGCGTTTCAAAATAAGCTACTAGTTTCCTAACTTTTTTTCTATATTTATCATTATTATTTTAAAGAAATGACATACTCTACCTTTCTCAATTAAAACTATTTTCTCTTCTTAGCAACTTTCACCGCACAACAATCCCTCCATCTTTTTTTATTACAAAGGAAGGGGATACCCATACAATCCCTCCATCAACGAAAATTTAAGTCAGACCTCAATTGAGATTAAGGAGATTCGCAACAATATTGCTACATCATTATAGGATGCTAGATCATGATTATGCTACTAGTTTTATTTCAAAATGTTAATTTTTTTTAAGACAAAATGTTAAATTTTAATATGTAAACAAAGTACTTTAAATTTTTTGAAGATGTTCTTTTTAGTCTTTTTACATTTATATGCTTAACAAATGAGGCCCCACCTAGATAGGATTCAAACCTCAAATCTCCAAGATAGAATACGATAAACACATGTTTCTACCATTCCTCCATAGGGTCTTCTAAGATTAATTGTAATTTTTTTATTTTTAATTTCTTAACTAACTAGGTACAAATTAAATATTGGGCCTTCTAAAATTTAAGGTCATGTGTTGTTGCATAACCCAAAATTCGGCCCTGATTAAAGAACACACGACATCTGTGTTTGAGGCTTTGTCCAAACAATTCAACCGTTAACGCCTTCTCAAGAATGAGTGAATGGTCTAGCAATCCAGGGACAAATTGTCCTAGAAAGACCAAGAGTGGCCCTTGACCCCATCCTATGTCCCAATCGACATGATATCCAACTTATTACTTATGCATTTGATTTGTTTCGTTGGGCATAAGTTATAGACTTTTAGTATTGATGTGTTGAGACACATTTTAGTATTTTACAACTTAAGGGTGCAGCAACACCGAATTGAAATTCAAATTTGTTGGAAATGTTAAGGTTGTTTTGCAAGCAATTCAAAAAGACAAGTTAATTACGGTATTTGTTAAGATTCGATCAAAACCAAAAGATCTTTGTTCACCAAAGTGGCATTGCAATACATGACTTTTGATTCAAGTAAAAGGAATTGAATTTCCTATACACGGAAAGCTTCATTTAGTATTTAAGTGGTAATTTGCAATATTTATAAAATTAACTCAGGTAAAAAATATGGTTAAATCGTAATTATTGATCTTGTCTAAATTAACAGTCCATGTGAGCATCTAGCTATTAATGTGCAATCCAACTATCAGCTTAGGCTTTTAGTTGAGATGGAGCACATGCTTCAATTTGGTATCAGAGCCAGACCAAAGGTCATGGGTTCGAATTATAAGCGACTACGGTTTACCGGTCCACGTGTTGCTTGGAACCCACCTCACACGTGAGGGGAACCGGTCCACGTGTTGCTTGGAACCCACCTCACACGTGAGGGGGCGTGTGAGCATCTAGCCATTAATGTGCAATCCAACTATCTGTCCAGAATGTAAAAAGCCGTTAATGTGCAATCCAACTATCAGCTTAGGCATGGAGTACATGCTTCAATTGTCCAGAATGAAAAAATAAAATAAAAATGCGATGACATTTTAGTAATTTTGTGTAAGTTTATGTTCTTTGTATTTGAGTGCATTGTGTAAGTTTATGTTCTTTGTATTTGAGTGCATTACTTTATCCTTCTTCAAATGCACATTGTTCATTCTTCAAGTGCATAAGTTTGTTTATTGGAGTGCATAGTTTCTGTTAAGTGTATTTTTATTTTATTAATTTCTCAACAGCTGAGTGCATTATTTTTCTTCTTTTAAGTACATATTTTAAAATGTATAACGTTGCACTATAAAGTGCTAACTTTAATTTTCACCTTAGGGTGCATAGATTTGAGTCTACGAGTGCATAACTTTTAATCATCGAGCGCATACCTTTGCTTGGGTGAGATAATTGCCTATTTTTTAAAGACCATCTTGTTAGTATCTTTCATGTTAAAAACAGTGTAATAAATATGTTATGTGTAGTTTTGTTTCATTAGGTAGATAGCATTGCAGTTTAGAATAAAGTACTTTAAAAATATATAACTTTGAGCCTTCAGTGCATAATTTTGAATCTTAGGGTGCATAACTTTGACCCTCCAGCTGATGCATAACTTTCAACTTCTCAGTACAAAATTTTAATGACTCTAATTTCACCTAATTTTCACTGGAAAGTCCTTCGCATAATTGCATGTGAACCTTCCTCTCTCTCTCTCTCTCTCTCTCTCTCTCTCTCTCTATATATATATATATATATATATATATATATATATATATATATATATATGTGGAATTAATAACATATATTAGGAGAACTCCTATTTAAAATGGAGTTATTGACTTTGAAATAGTCGAAAATTATTATTATGTTTTATAGTATAAATAAATTTAATTAGAAGAATAATACATCAAACATTATGTTTGTCATTTTCAATTTACCTTACGCGTTTGGTATTTTATAATAAATTATTTCTTTAAACAAAACAATACAATTTGATTATAACAATCAATTTATTATGTTTATAGCTCTATCACTTACACTTACATTGGTCAATAATCACCAAACTCTAATTCAAATGAATCCCGGGCCCCAGTTTACTTTTCACTAATGAAAATCCATCCCAACAACCTACATAAAAATTTAATAATAATAATAATAATAATGATGATGATGATGATGATGATGATGATGATGCATGCATGCATGCATGTATCAGTTGTTAAAGAGTAGGGATGATTTAACGCATAAGCCAAATACTTAATTAATCGAGTTATTGTTGCGGGCAATGCACACTTCAATAGTTGTTCAATAGAAACTAGGATATGCAATCCACCCTTGGACTTATATTCTGTCTATGAGTACAAGAAATTGCATCCTAGATTCCTAGGTATTTAAATTCAAAAGAAAAAGTAATTTTATAGATGTTAGAATCTCTTAAAATTCAAGTATCACTTTATAATTTTTTGAAAAAATTAATGTGAAATTATATTACGTATCAATTAAGGTGTTGCTTGTCGTATATTTTTTAGAATTTGAAAATTAGATATATTAAAAGGTGGATCATATGGGTTCATGTAGTATTTAACTCATAAATTTTTTGAGAAATTTACTTTTAGTCCTGACTATTATTTGACTTGATGGAGGTTAATTATACAAGTTTAATACTCCGTAGTACAATGGCCCAACTAGATTTAGGTGCTTCTCAATTTATGTGATTGAAAAACTAGCTAGTCAGTCACTGAGACCTGGCATAGCCACTATTTCAAACAACATATCAATATCCAACACATATCATGACTGACCTGAGCCACCAACTACACACGGTCATGTCAAATCTGTCAATGCATGGAATTTTGGTGTTGTGTTTCTTGCCTCACTACTATAAATATTAGAGACCTCCACTAACTAGTCTTTTATTTATTTATTTATTACAAGTCTATAGTTGACACCACACCTTGTGACCCTAGCCAACAAAGAACCACAGGGAGGTAAATTAGTTTAGGAGGTCACTTATAGCTTTATGACTTAGACCAAAAAGGTCAATAGGCTACTCTCACTAAGAGTCGAACTTAAAACCTTATGATTACCAAGTCAACATCTTAACCAACTTGGATGAGGTTGCCTTTAGTTGGCAACCACCTTGACGTGCCCATTGAGTCTGCTAGTGCTTGAAAAAAACGCATCAACTTTTTTTCTTTTAATGGATTCCAAAGTTATTAAAAAAAAAAAAAAAACACACACACAACACAACACAACATGAATCAAATTTATTCTCTCCCCTCTCCGCTCTCTCATTCAACTCACCTCAAACATCGGAAAAAAAAAGTCAAAAATCTCTTAATAATTCATTGTTGGAAATGTCCTTATTCATCCCTCCAAAATTTTACCCTCTTAATTTTTCCTCCTGTCAAGAGAGAAAAGATTATGAGAAGTAAAAAACATTTTCCTTTATAAAGGCAAATTTAACCTAAATTTCACCTGAGGTTGGATTTGAACCAAGTAAAACGCTCATTTACAATTTCTGCATTTGAAATGGCAAAATTACTTCTAAGTTTCATCTGACATAGCGCATTATGAATTTATGATCGCCTATCATTTTCCATTGACCACTGGCCAAATCTGGGAGGAACAGATATTATTGTGAAAAGTGCTTAAGAAATGGTGTCCACATGAGAATATCTGGAGGTGTACCAATGGCCACTTGGTACGTGTAGTCTGAGTAGAACCCACACAAAATTTTTCAGTTATATGTTGACAACTGCCTGCAGGTAATTGTCATGAAGCAATCAGTTAGCTGTTCGTCACCCTCACCAGACAAGGCTGATCAACTGTCACCTAACACATGAAATTTGAATCAATCAAGCCAACCTGTCCTTTCAACCTAACCAACTTGCCCTTTAATCACCATTCACACAATACCCATGCCCATCACAATTTAGCATTATTATAAAAATTAAGTCTTCATGATTGCAAATGGAACAACATTCATATCACATAATCCCGGCAAACTTGATTGTCAGCATGGTAAGGGTTTTCAGAAATTTATTTTTATGATCCAAGACTGGACTTTCAATACTTGTACTTTTGATACATTGAAAGAAATAGCAACCATCAGACTTCAGTTCTCGCCCTTGTGAAGTCGCCGCTCAAGCTTTGCAGAATCTGCAACCGAAAGGACAATCAGCAAGTCAGAGTAGGGAACTATTGCATTTTTATTGAAATGTTAACATACTGACAACACAAATTTCGTTTTTCTCCATTTTTTATCTTCTCTAATAATGGTACTAGCACAAATATCCATCTCTACTGTCTAGTACTCTGAGCGATCACAAATCACAATAGCTTAACACAAGGTTAGCTGAACTGCAACCACTACAATAAACAAATGTCAAAGCCAAAACTAACTGAAAAACCTATAAAAATCAATGACTCTACTTTCATTAATCATTTCGTCAGCTCATTTATTATGTGCCTGTACAATATTGCAATGACTTCACTGGCCATCGGTACACTTCTGTCCCATCGATCATTTCCAACTCTTCCCAAAACATACACACACACACGTGTATAAGATAAGAATAGTAGTTGCCACAAGTCATTTCAGAGACTGAAGGGCTACTTCAGCAAAATGCAGAATGCAAAGAATTCCCCCACCCCAAACAATGCAAAACAATCCATTTTATGAGTTATGACATTATTCTAATCTCTAAGCATCAAATACAGTATAAAAAGTCAAATAAAAAATATACTTGAACTCCAAAAACTTATTCCCAACTTTTACTCCCACAAAGTGTTCAGATTTTATTGGAGGAAAAAGAAAAAAAAAGAATGGATAAAAATCATGACCCCCTATTATATTAAGCAATCAAAGCATGCCACATCATATGGAGTAAAAAATGGGAGTACATGCAGAATTACTCAAGTCAAACAAGGTTGCAAATGTATGTCCAATCTATCAATGTCTTAGGCTAAGAAGCTAAAAGTTATAATATTAAGAAACAGAATGCCTATGAGACATGGAGGAATTCAGTCTGTCTCTGTAACACCATGTGACCAATGGCGGTAAAGGATTCTAATAAAAACATATAAATAAAAGGTTGTAGGAGTATGCTTAACAGTCCATTAGAATTGGGAATAGCATCTTGTTTCAAAATTTATAGTTTTTAATTCCATAACAACTTTGATATCATATCCTAGAAATTTGAAGATGGTAGGTGGAGTGCAATAGTCCATCTAATTGCACAACAGCAACATACCACATGACCCATCATTTCATCTCATCCAAAGTCAATACTGGAGGAACTGCTTGTTTAAGCAATACCGTCAAACTGGAAACAGGGAAAGCATCTTTTGGGCAATAATAACCACTATCCTCCCTTGCCCCCAGTAAATTTAAAAACCAGAACAGAAGATGAAAAAGGAAACCTTGATTCCTGGGAAAGCTTTGAAATGGAAGTAGCATAACTGCATAACAGCTGCTAAATTATAGTTTTTATACAACCTTGATTGTTAAACCATGTTTGCTGTATACAATGGCAAGAAATAGGTATTCTGAGCACATCTCATGATGTCCAACAGACTCTAACTTTCAGTAAATTGTCAAACCCACCAAAAACAAATTAAAACAACATAAAATAAAATAAAATAACAATTAGACAAAAAGAAGGCCCAAACACAATTAGAATGGAGTTGTGCAACATATGAAACAGAGCTGCAGTAAAAATCAATTTTTTTTAACAAAATAGGAACCAATCTACATTCGTAAATAATGAATTTAAACAGGATAATTAAGACCTGGTTAACATCAAGAGGAAAATCAAACACTCCTATTACTAATGCGTCATAAATAAGTTCAAGGAATCATAATTGAACTTAATTATACGTATGATACCTTGAAGGAAAGGAAACGGAATGAAAATGAATCAGTGGCCGCCGTGCTCCTGGGCATGCTGTTGATGCTCGAGATGACGGCGCTCCTCGGGAAGAGCGACTAGGTAGGAGAAAGCCATGCCGCCAAAACAGACGTGATAGAGAGGGTCGATGGAGTTGGTCTCAATATACTTGGCGTGGTAGTTATCCAAACCCCTCTTGAACGCATTCTTGAGGTAACTGATGGACAGCATCGGTTTCAGGTGCGCCGGCACCTCCTTCACTTTCATGCCCTTGATCTCGTTGTAGAAGTTCCTCATCGCCATCTTCGTAGAGATCTGATCGAATCCGATTGAAACCCTAACCCTAGCTTTAGGAGATGAAAGTTAAATCTAAATGCGCTTTTGATTTGGTTGTACTGTACTCCGACTCCGTAATCGCCTGAGGATACTTCCGTCCACGTACATTAAAATTTGAAATATGATTGACCAGATTTATTAGAAACTGCAAGTTGTAAATTCATATAATTTTCCTGAGCTAAAAAAGAATCCACATTGAGATCACAATTTTTTAATATTGAACATTTAATAATTTTATGTATAATATATATGACATTATAGTCAATAACCTTGTAGTTTAGTGGCATGAAGTGACTCTCCCATGTATATATTATGGTTATTTATTTTATTCATTAAATTAATTAAATTTTGATATATTATTTTTTATCAATTTTTAAGAATATAATAATATGATAACATTCCTCTTTATTCTTTTATATATATATATATATATATATATATATATATATATATATATATATATATATATATATATATATATATATATATATATATATATAATTCTTAATGCAATCTTATTCCATCTATTTTCATTTTATATAATTGTTACAATACTTATGGCTTGTTTGAGTAATTTTCTATTGGGCTTTCCCTAAAATATTTTTTTTCTTTTTTATTATTTATAAAATATTTTTTTAATCATCAGAAAAAACATTAGAACAACATCAATACTTATAGATTTTTATGAGTTTTTTGCAAGCCATGTAAGATAGAGAAGCAAGTGAGAAGAGGAAAAAATTCATATTTGTAGGAAAAAAAATAGTCAAAAACTCCTTTTTTCCATTAGATAAAAATCAATTCTTTTTTTTTTTCCTTAAAAACGGAGTAAAAACTACTATTGTGGTTGCTCTAAGACAATAACCTTTAAAGTGACAGTTTTTATCTCTAACTAATTCTCAATATAAAGCAAAGCATATTTATACTTTTAGTATCTCTTCCAACAAAATAAGAATGCTTTTGTTTCCTGTTTATTAATTAGAAAAATTCTCCCTTTTTGAGGAAAAAAAAAAAAACAAAGAATATGTTTCCATATATATATATATTCTCCAATTTAAAAAACTGAAAATGAAAAATAAAAAAGTAGAGAATTGAAATTTATGCAAAATGAAATGATCTGCAAAACTAGAATGGACAAGTATAGATGAATTCTATGTTTTTAAATTAGTTAATACAAAAAATCCGTAAATCAATTGTTTTGCCAACAAACCTCCTATGCCTATGACAGTCAGCAATGCACTCACACAGACTATTTACAAATGACCAACATTAAACCTTAACTTCAGAGTCAAATGTAGTTCCTCCTATGTGCAGAAGAAGCTCCTGGCAGGGCAAGAACATAGAACATGTAGTATATTTATAATTTAGGGACCATGGAAACCCAACTTTGAGGTGGAATATAATATCTAGTTCACAAGTTCTTTGTTGGGAGTACAATTTACATTCACAGTGGGAAGGCCAATCCTGCAAGAAAATGAAATTGCAGATACATTGATGCATTTTCCTTGTATCATGTCTAATCAAATGAAGTAATATGTTTTTACCTCATATCGGAGTGAATGTTAAAAGTATATGACTATAATATAAGAGTGGATGCATCATGATTATGAGTGTGTATGAATTATGCTGAGTCTTGTATGTAAATGAATTATTTTCTTTTTTCCATCTCCTTATTAGGGTTAAAAATGAAAAGAAAAAAGAAAGAAAATGGAAGGACTGCAACCATTATGAAGGCTAATGAAATCAAACGTTTTTTCATGAAAACGGGAGTAAAATCTCTTATGTATAAAATGATTTAAGATATCTGTTGCTTGCTTGACCAAAATATCCCAATGAAAACTGGTCAATTCTCCACTGCCCCCAACCACCCCTCCCCCCCCCCCCCGGCCCCCAGCCCCTGATCCCAATCATAATGTCACAAAAATCTGCTCCCCTCAACCTTGTACATACTTTCTCCAATCTTATAATACATTAATATGGATACTATAGATAGCTAATCTCAATTAGATCACCAATAAGCCTTTATCACACTGAGAAAATTAAAAATACAATATAAGGAAAACTAAAAGGAATTTGCTACTAATTATCAAGGATGCAGAATTCATACTTGTCAATACGCAACAGCAGATTCATACCTTAATACAGACCCAACATCCTTAGCTCTGACACATGACTAGGGTCAAGTTCCGGAACATTCTTATTTAATGATTCACGATCTTCTACCACATACTCCTATCAGTTAAATAATGAAAGTGTGAACATGTGAAATATATCATGAACAAACCATTAAGAAAATATTGCCCAGAAGAGAATGCAAGAACTCAGAAAATCAAAGATACCACCATAAGACGAAATTCTGGGGGAAAAAAAGAGGTAATTAAAAACAGTGTGCCTCAGTTGTTATTTAATCCCAAAAGAATGTTTTTTCATTGAATTATCACATGTACAAGTCAAAAACATAGGGCAGTATCTCATTGATTTTCTTTACTTTAATGAATTAGGCAATGGTAGATAACTGACTATTGTCCTGACAATTATAATCTCTAGATTAGCAACAAATACTATACCTTTGTGAGTTCAGGTTTCGCAAGAACATGGTAGTGGCGTTCATTGATCCTTTGTCCACAAATTATTGCTATGAAGAAACCATAAAGCAATCCCACCAACACAATTGCCAAAACTGCAAAGTTGAAAAAATCAAGCTAAGAAGGGATTTTATTGTGAAAAGACTACATTAAACCTAGATAACCAGAGTGGCAGAGCAACTTGGCTACTCTTTCCTCTCCAAATCCAGTTAAATCCACAACAAATTCAAAGAAGAATAAGAAGAAGAAAAATCCTAATGAAATTGAGAGAATAAACCAGGCAATAGTATACCTGCCATTGTATAAAACCCGTACGGATGTTCTTCATAACCAAACATTTCCCGCAGCTCATCTCCATAAAATTTGTACACAAGGACTCCTAAAATTGCTACAATCTGTGGAATATGCTCTTTTATTAACCAACGGCTTGAAGGGAGCATTGTTCATTAGAGCAAGCAACAAGTGAAGAGAAAATTATGTACATACCAGCTGGACAACAAGAAAAATGAGAGCATGATCTCTTGCAACAAGGAACTGAAATTTTAATCTTAACCACCATCGATCAGGTGGTACATTTGCCCGTAATATAAACTTTGCTTTGCATTCTGTGCAGTGAGCAAAAGCAAAACCCTCCTGGAAAAATAAATAGAAGCACAAAACACTGAAAACAGTTAGCACAAAATTCCATGAATGATGCAGTTCTATTCCTTCAAACATAAATAGCAAAGGTAAATGAAAAGGAAATTGCAAGGACTATAACATACTCTTCAGATTATCATATTGCCAATATCCGGAACGACAATGTGATTATGCTTTTTTGTGGGTACACTTCCTTTTTTTAGTGGGGAGGGGGGGAGGTCTCTCACAACATTGATCAGAAAAAGAAGACTTTACCACAAAGGCACAGTGGTTAAATAGATATTTAATTTGGAAAGAAAGAACAAGTCCTCATGTATCAACCTTGAACTGGAGAAAACATTAAAGTGCTTTTAATTCATGCAAACTTATTAGTTTAGACGCATCTTGGAAGCTACATCATTAACCTTTCACAAAGAAAATTTCTAGAAGCACTTCAACAAGTAGGAGGGATGTATATATAAAACATGTGTGTGAGTGCCCATCTGATCCTTTTATACCACTTCTCCATGCTTGCACTTTTTTAGTCCTTTGGTATGATCCAAATGGTGGACCTCCTATATTTCCTTCCTTGTCAGCAGCATTGGATATTGCCAATCTCCCCCACTACTCATTATATTTTTCAGTCTAACTTCTCAGTTTTCAATTCATTCCATTCCTAGTTCTTTAATTTTCTTACCACCCCACTAGGGATAGTTAATGACTTAATGGATGGATCCCTATGAAGTAATCAAGGTGCTTCTGTTGCATCTTTCTTTGATAATCGTCTTCAATCAAAATCTTACATCTCCAGATATCAATTTAAGAAAAGGAGAAAGCAAAACATTTGACCATAAGAAACTAAGATAAGCATATATTACCTTTGTAGATCTCCAATTATCAAGACATGACCTGTGGACATATTTTTGGGTTCCCTTACAGTGGCATGGTGCAATCAAATCATCTCCTAAAAAATGCAACCAAGATAGACACAGATTTTAATGTGAATAAATATGTTGCTTTTGTCCAGACTCTGCATTCATAATAATGTCAACCAAAATCCATAAGTATATAAATGTATAAGAGCATCCTTTACATTAGAGAAGTTAGTAACCTTAATGATGTTAATAGCTTAGCAACCTATGAAACCAGTAATACTTGGCACAACATGTATACAAAACCTTCAATATCAAGGCATATACGGCATTGTGGCTGCTCTATGTTTAACAGCAATTGACTTCCATCAGCCTCAAAACTTGATGAATCATCAGAATTGGTGGAACAATCCCCACTCACTGTAATTTCAATTGCAGGAGAAGATTCATCAGATTCCTCTACAGCATTAGAATGAGTTAAGATGGGCTCTCTTTCTGAACTATCCTCTGCCTGACTATCATTTGACACTATTTGCATTGTGGAAAGTGTTGGCGACTTGGCTCCAGATTACACTGTAGAATTCACAAGAGCTATAGTGCCTAATTAACATCTCAATAGACACAAAGGCACCTGCAGAATAGAAAATTAGTTAGACAGTCAGGAAAAGAGATCCCATTCAATATATAATCACCTGCCTCAGATACTGACTAACATAGAAGACATTCTAAGAAGTAAGAACATGCAGTTAACCAGTATAGTTATCAAAACATTACATCCACACTTGTCATGGCTAACTAAACCCCCTATGGGTGTCAGATTTTATTTCCACCATTGTCTTGAAAAATAGCAAACTTAGTATATCCCTATAGTAACACTAAAAATCTTTCCCTGTAATTTTATTATCATTACAACCTAGCCTCTAATGCTGTCCATGGATCTGTCTCTTACCTTCATGCTCCACCTCGATAATTTTGCATATTTATTTAAAGTTAGAATGAAGTTCCAGAACCAATTGTTTTAGAGTTACATTTTTGT